TCGGACGGGCATGCTGCTATGCTTCCCAAGGCAAAGACAATGTTTACAAGACCGAGCCAGCGGTCGTCCCTGCGGTGTCCGGAAAGGTATGTCTCGCGAAAAGCTTGTTCGTCCAACATGKGCACAAACGGCTGGAACCAGGTGAAGTACGCGTCGAGAAGTTGCATATCGGTCGCTTGCATATGAGCCTGGGGCGGTGTAACCGGATGCTGCTGAGACGAATGGATGTGCCAGTTCTGATGCGCGGCTGCTGTTGAGTAATCTTGCATCGAATCTCGGTGAGCAGCGCTCGCTGGTGTCCGAGAGAAATAGGAAAGAGAGCCTGGATCAAGCCAAACAATGACTTTCAAGACAGCGTGTATAGAGGACACGCCTAGGTATGAGGAAGGCTGTTTAGCTGAGAGGGATAGAGCATTTACATCGTCTGAAATTCCATTCGTTATGTCGCTGGTGCTCTGGTTTCGGCTGTCGCTTGGATCTTCTGGCATCGTCTGCAAGGATTCCAAGTTGCCATCTTCGTTGGACATGGGGGAAACGTGCGCTTCAACTGACGCAGAGGTGGCAGGAGAAGCCGGATGTTGAGCCTGCACCTGCGACGGGCCCTTACCCGAGAGCTCCAGAAGCTTCTCACGGGATAGACTGACAAGGGCCTCGGGGGAGGTGCTGGGAAATAACTTCTCCAGAACGCTCCGATACTCGTCTAGAGTGGTCGACAGTTTTTCCACATGCCTGTAGCGTTCAGCTCACTTGTCCCGACTACTCCGGGGAAAGGATGGAAAGCTCAGGACAGAGCTCACAGGAAAAATAAAGAAGGGGAAGAACGCACCTCCGGGAAGGACGGGGATCTGAATAATGGCACTGATCGGCCTTCTTGTACCATCTACACGCCTCACATGGTTTCTCACCATCGCATTTGATCTTGCGATGTCGGCAGGAGGTGCAGGCCCGAAGGGTGGTGACTCTCCGTCCAACAGACTGCTGGCGCTCCCGACCCTTGGCCGGGGTTGAGGCGCCAGCGTTCTCAAAACCCTCAAAGGTGTGAAACATGGTAAGGGGCGAGCTGTGGCTCAATTCAAATCAGACCTTGAGCAAGCGAAAAAGCACCACGCGGCTGAGACATGCTAGGGTCTAATCAGCCCGAGAAGGCCATCTGTGTAGACGGGACGACTTTTTTTGGTGCAGGTGTGGTGTAGAGGCTACGAGGATCCAGGCCGTCGTCGAAAATACGGAGAAAACTGGGGAATGCGAAAGTAGAGAGTAGAGAAGAAAAACAATATCGATAACGATATAGATAAATTAAAAGGGGATCACGGCACAATGGTCCTGCAGGTGATAAAGCTGAAGCGAGGTGGTATGATTCTGTTGGTGGAGAAAGTAATCAATTATAAGAAGGTGAGAGAGGAAGGTAGAGAAGGAGTTCAGATGCAGATTCAGAATTAACTGGCGGGAGGCTTGAGGGACGGTGAAAGGATTCGGAAGGGCGAACGAAGCACACTGGGCGTGGAAGAGAGAGAAGACGTATAGAAATACTGCAAATCCTGTTGGCAATAATATCTCTATTTTTCTCCAAAAGATATTATTTTGCTATGCCTTGTCATCATTACTTATCATGATCATTTTAGGACTCGACTCCGAGTGTTTTAAAGTACTGCAAGTTGCAAGTCCTACAGCACTCCTAATAGAACCGAAGGAGTAGTCCCTGAAAGATCGTCGCCATCAACTGGGCTGGTCCGCTGTCTGCATCCTCCCCCGCATTCCGGGGTCTACCGTTTACCTGCTTTGTACCTACATTTGTACTCACGAGTCACCACTGTCTCTAGATTCTTCTCACTTCGCTGATCCTGTCTTCCATAATTCCATTTGCCTTGTTCTCTTGGGAGGCAAAGTGGGGGAGGGGCGAAAGGGGAAAGAGGACGAAAAATAATTCAATTTTACTTTGTTTCTCTTGTTGCTTTTGCGAAAGGCGAACAGTTAGACCTGGTCAAGGTACCTTAGCGGCTTTTCGGTGCTGCCGGCAGCTGGAAGGCGCCCGGCCACCCATGATTCATCACTGATTGGTAGATCCAAACATCCATTCCAATCACTCCCCATGTCTTCCATTAATTTTCTCTAGTCCCTGTTGGACGCGTACGATGAGTTAGTTCATCACCGCCCTGTATGCGAACTTTAATAGATTCAGGACAAAGCGAGTTGTTGAGCCCAGGATTCCAGTCAAGCAAAAACAGTCTTCCTCACCGACCTTCTCTTGCGCCGGTCTGGCCCTTGTGCAGTATATCTCTCATGCTCTGGTCCTGCTGACTTAATACCAGGAACAGCAGGAAGGTGATATCTATACTAGGGCTTAATAGGGAGTACTTGAACCAGGAATCCCCAAGTTCTACTTGAGTACATGGCAGGCCATCTCTGATAGCGCCGGGGCCTCCTCGGCTGCCTATGAGCTTCTACCGGAGCGCTATGCGGCATAAGTAAGTATATCACAATAATAGTGAGCATGGCGCTGGGTTGAGAACCTCATCACTCTGAAACCCGACGACGACCTGTTATTTGACGAACAATACATCCATGCAGGAGTGAGGTTCATTTCCCCGCAAAAGAAGGACCGCGGGGCCCCATTACTCGTTGCAGACAAGTAGCAATGATCAAATCATCTGATGCTCTTCTCAATTCCAGATATCGGGTGGCAAAAGAGTCGTCTTTCGCACAGGCTGGTATGAGCAGGGAGTGACGGGCACTCATCAAGAGGATAGAGAATGATCCCTGCAGTGTCTGCACCCATTTTAGTGCAATTCAATATCAATATCGGAGGGTTAGCCTTACGGACCATAGCCCCAACTCCAGGAATCAAGGATAGCGTCTATCATCTTGTGGCTTGTCCTTCACCGGGAGCCGTCGGCTGACAGCCAACCATGACGAGCTCCTTCTGTCCGAATACCTAAAATACTACGATGCTTTCTGAGCAAAAAGTCTATTACGAAGTGAACTCAGGTACAGATCTGGCGTATCATTAGCAGATTCATGCACCTTGCTATCGCAGACCCCGCTCAGCTCGTGCAGATTCGGTGTCGTTGAACCAAATCAGAGACTCGATGGCAAGCCATGACCATTGTGCCGACTGTAAGGAACTCAAGGCTGTGACTGTGCACTAAGAAGTGTGGCTACCTTGATCCGGAACCAGAAGGCTGCAGACTTGGCCGACCCTTGAGATCCTTGGAGTTTCGGTGGCTAAATTGGCTACCCAAGTACCGAGGTGCCTAATCTTCCTTTGATACTAAAGACAGTGCTCACTGGGAATACCGAAAGCTCTAAAGATTCAAATCGGGAGTTCGAACTGACCAGGACTTGAGAGACCAAGATCAGAGGCCAGTAATACTGTAATTTGCAGGATTCGCCTGGACTTTCAGAAGCCCCCGGCCATCTGGATTGTTAGAGTTCATTTCTTGTCGATCTTAGTAGCCAAACTCGTCTTAGGAAGTCTATCTGGTCTAGCGACCGCAATGATTACGAAGAACGGATAAACGTGAACTCTGAGTCTGAGTATGGTCAGACGAACCGACGCCAATGCCCACCACGTTGAGACATTTCAGTGCTCCTTCATCTACTTCTGATCACACGCTTTTCTTGTAAACAGGTGGCACATCGAAAGTCTCGGCTTGGCATGGATCAACCATCTTGAGATGAAGGACTGATTTGCTGGCACCCTGATTCTTCTCATGTCTGTGGGGACATAGAACAATTCCATCAATGGATGACCCAAATGAAGAGGGGTTGCTCGGCTACTGATAATCTGATACTATTGGTATTTTAGAACGTCGGACCATCTTTAGCGGCGTGCCAATGTTCGATTCTCAAGCCACGATGACTGGAATCCTGCGACGAGGGCGTCTGCTAGTGCTAGCGGCAAAAAGGAGATGTAAATTAAATGAGGGGCGAATATTACCAGTGCCAGTCTCAATCGCCCAAAACACATCTCGTTTGAGAGAAATCATTAAGGACAGATATATGGAGTAGGTTATATTTCGCTGCTTCGTAGCAGACGCCTGAGGAGCGTCTTTTTTCTGTGCCTGACCCGGATGCAACTTGCGGTAACCTAATTGATGGAAAAGAATTCCGTGGTCAGGAGGAAGTATGAGCGTACCGGGCCACCAGGCCGGAAATTGAGGCACACAGTCGAGGCTGATGGCAGAATATGGACTTTGAAGGCACGAAAATAACGCATTCAAAGTATGGAAGAGCGCAATCATTTATTATTTGAATGAATGATGAAGCCATATGTCGTCTCAGACACCGCTCAGATGAAGAGACTGGGGCCCTTCAGCAATCTCAAAGCGTCCGTATGGGATTGGAGCCGACCGAAGCCAGTGTGTGCCGTGCAAAGAGAGCTAGACGGAGGTGTTTCCGTTCCTAAAAGGGAACAAAGTGCGGAGACGAGTTCTTGGCGAGACTGACGGTTCTGACGGTTCTGATCTGTGGGCCGTACTAAGTCCCCATAGTGTCAGTCCAGAACGTTGTCCCGTACAGAAGACAGTTGAGATTGTTACATTGGACAGTCTTGTCTGTCTCGTTTGATGAACCTAGATCCGATGTGGCCCAAGCCTTATTTCTGCTGTACAACACTGGAAGGAGGACGTTGAACTTGCGCTCACGAACAATGAAGAGAATTGGTAAGAGTCAAGCCTGGGGCATGGAGCAGGACTTGGCTAACCAAATTTGGAATGGAGAGGCCTCCGAGAGGGTATTACCCAATTTGGCCGGCCTGCCACGTGAGAGGCGGAGAGATCTCCGTGTATCTCCTCATACTCCGAGCTCATTGAGACGTTGAGATGTTACTGTAGATAGGGAGCGCTGACTCTAAATTGGCGGCATATCCCGCTAATGGAGGGATGAGGAATCAGAGGATCCCATTCATTCCTTCTCAATCGAGGCCGGATTCTCCTGGACAACGTCAAGTATCAGTTCCGGTCCGTGAGGGAGCTCTTTTTTATTCCTCCAGAACCGTCAGAATGTCGAAATTACAACAATTTCCTTTATCTAAGGGATGGAGCTTCAGAGATAGTGAAGACACATCGGAGGATGCGTGGATGCCGGTCCCTGTTGTCCCTTCCGTCGTCCATCAGGATCTTCAAGCAAATAACAAGTATGGCAACCTTTCAGTCGGCAATAATTGATCGAGCTGACCATTGTTTCTCCTGGGATTACAGGCTGAAGGATCCCTATATTGGATTCAACGAGCTCGAGGCGAGATGGGTCAATGAGAAATCATGGACCTACAAAACCGTTTTTCAGAAACCAGCTGCTCCTGCTGGGTCTTGCGTCGTTCTAGCATTCGACGGCCTGGACACATTCGCCAAGGTCAAACTTGACGGCAACGTCATTCTCGAGAGCGACAACATGTTCCTTGCTCATCGCGTCGATGTCACCAAGGCTCTGGAAGCCGAGGGTGACCACGTTCTAGAAATCGACTTTGACTGTGCCTTTCTGCGTGCAAAAGAGCTTCGCAAGCAGGATCCCGAGCACAACTGGGCATCCTTCAATGGTGACCCTTCCAGACTAAGCGTAAGGAAAGCTCAGTACCATTGGGGCTGGGACTGGGGCCCGGTTCTCATGACCGCTGGTATCTGGAGAGAAGTGCGACTTGAGGTTTACTCCGCAAGAGTCGCAGATCTTTGGACCGAAGTGGAACTGGCTTCGGACCATCAGAGTGCTCGGGTTACTGCTTTGGCTGAAGTAGAGTCTGTGGACTCTGGTTCACATAATGCTTGTTTCACTCTCAGCTTGCATGGCCAAGAAATCGCCAGGGAGGAAATTGGTGTGACTGAGAATGGCACCGCCAAGGTCACCTTCGATGTCAAGGAGCCCTCACTCTGGTGGCCCCATGGCTACGGTGAGGCCACCCTGTACGAAGTATCCGTGTCCCTGCGCAGGGAACAGGAGGAACTTCACCAAGTTTCCAAGAAGTTCGGGATCAGAACCGCGGAGGTTATTCAGCAGCCTGACAAGCACGGAAAGTCCTTCTTCTTCCGTATCAATGGCGTCGATATCTTCTGCGGCGGTTCTTGTTGGATCCCAGCCGATAATCTCCTTCCCAGCATTACTGCTGAGCGATACCGCAAATGGATTGAGCTCATGGTTCATGGCCGTCAAGTGATGATCAGGTAAGCCGTGATCGTTAGCCTCGTCATCCCCATGGGGATGCATCGCTAACAGCTAGCAGAGTATGGGGTGGCGGTAACTATGAGGACAACAGCTTCTACGACGCGTGCGACGAACTCGGCGTCATGGTTTGGCAAGACTTTATGTTTGGCTGCGGAAACTACCCTACCTGGCCCAACCTGCTTGAGTCCATCCGAAAGGAATCTGTCTACAACGTGCGTAGGCTGCGTCACCACCCATCTATCGTCATTTGGGTTGGCAACAATGAAGATTACCAGGTCCAGGAGCAGGCAGGTCTCACTTACAACTATGAGGATAAGGACCCCGAAAGCTGGCTCAAGACAGATTTCCCTGCCCGTTACATCTATGAGAAACTCCTTCCAGACGTGGTTCAAGAATTCTGTCCCAGTACTTTCTATCACCCTGGTAGTCCTTGGGGCGATGGGAAGACCACGTCCGACCCCACCGTTGGTGACATGCATCAATGGAACGGTACGTTCACTGATTGCCACTTGCACTGATCTTTACTAATTCTGGCAACAGTATGGCACGGCACACAGGAGAAATACCAGATCTTCGATACCCTCGGCGGGCGGTTCAACAGCGAGTTCGGAATGGAAGCATTCCCACACATGTCAACTATCAACTACTTTGTTGAGAACGAGGCGGACAAGTATCCCCAATCGCATGTCCTTGATTTCCATAACAAAGCCGACGGCCATGAGCGCAGAATAGCTACATACCTTGTTGAAAATCTGAGGACGGCGACAGACCTGGAGGTAGGCAAAGCTGCTGCCCTCGTAATCATACGTGATTTCATGACTGACTCAAAATGCAGACACACATTTACCTTACACAAGTCGTACAAGCAGAGACAATGATGTTCGGATACCGGGGATGGCGTCGCCAATGGGGTGACGAGAGACACTGTGGTGGTGCTCTCCTCTGGCAGTTGAACGACTGTTGGCCTACAATCTCCTGGGCTATCGTTGACTACTTCTTGCGGCCCAAGCCTGCATTCTACGCTGTGGCACGAGTGCTGAATCCTATCGCGGTTGGTGTCCGTAGAGAACATCATGACTGGAGTGTGACCCACGCACAGCCTCCCAAGACGAGCAAGTTCGAACTCTGGGTTGCCAGCAGCCGACAACAAGAGGTTCAAGGCACAGTGGAACTTCGGTTCCTTTCCGTCAACACCGGGCTTGAAGTTCGGGAGCGCATCGTGCACGAGAACGTCAGCATAGTCCCCAATGGCACAACCAACCTCATTGTGGACGGTCTCATTGACCACAAAGTCCACTCCGAACCTCATGTCCTTGCTGCTCGGATCTGGGTCGACGGCCAGCTCGTGGCAAGGGACGTGGACTGGCCCCAACCATTCAAGTACCTTGATCTGTCGGATCGGGGCCTTGAGGTCAAGAAGGTCTCTGAATCGGAGGATGAGCAGACACTGCTCATCAGCACGCAAAAGCCAGTTAAGTGCCTGGTCTTCGAGGAGCGTGAGGGTGTTAGAATCAGTGACAGTGCGATGGACATTGTGCCTGGTGACGACCAGAGAGTGACCATCAAGGGCCTGAAGGCGGGTGACGCTCCTCTAAAGTACAAGTTCCTTGGACAGTAGAAGTCGAATTGAATTTGGAGGACTCGCACGACCCACATATTGCGAGGCATTGCATTGCCCATTCAGAGAAAGTACTCTTACGATCAACACTGTGCATTCACCTCATACATAATCTAGCCACGAGAATAGAATATAATATTTTAAGCCAAACACTCTGAAGCAAAAGTTCGGGTGTCCTGATTCCTGAACCGGATCTTATCAGATAACAATCACCCCAATATGGTTAAGCCTGGCGGAGGAATGACGACCATGACCGTCAGCCAGCGACAATTTGTACAATCACCTAAAAAGCACCAAGCTCCAGCAACACCACTCCATGGCAGGTAACAAGCGATCCTGGGAAGGCAATCTTGTGAACATCGAGAAGACACAGACAAACATGGCGGCAGCACCAATCGACCAGTCTTCTACACAGATTTTCTCCATGTTCGAGACCTTCCGCGACGAGCTCGATCAGCACCACGACCGCCGAGAACGAGTGATCAAGACGAGCAGAGATATTACAGCATTGAGCAAGAAGATGTTCGTTCCCTGTCTGTCCCTGTCTGGTCCTTCCCGTTTGCATACATTCGCACTCAAGCTCAATTCACATATGCTAACGTTTCCAACTACCAGCATCTTTTCATTACAACGGTTAGTCTACCTACCCTCACGTCATACTAATATGGAACACCATTGACAACCTCTCAGCATTCGCACAATAAAAGCCCCCATCCCCGCCCCAATCGCCAAAGAGACCAAAACCCGCTTCGACCAAATCTCCACCCTCTTCCAGAACGTCATCCCCGATGTCACAGGCCTCAACAGCTGGCGCTACCAGCGCCAACTCAGCGGCGCCATCCAGGAATTCATCGAGGCCCTCTCCTTCAACCACTACCTACAGACCCAAACCCTCATCTCCCACGCCGAAGTCGTCGCCGCCCTTCCCGCCGAGATCCTCGTCACCGAAGAAGATTACCTGTTGGGCCTATTCGATCTAACGGGTGAAATGATGCGGTTTGCGATTACGTCTCTGTCGACGGGCGGGCAGGCAGATAGCGGTGGCGATGATTTGGCGGCGCGGGATATTGCTGGCGCTGGCGCGAATCAGAACCTGCCGAAGCTGCCGGCCACGCAGGCGGGTATTGTGGTTGACTTGAGGGAGATGCGGGCGTCGTTTGAGTTGCTGAGCGTGCCGCGGCGGCATGCGAATAATATGTATCGGGATATGGGAAAGAAGGTGGATGTTATGCAGAATAGTGTGGAGAAGGTTGAGCGGGCTGCGTATGGGATCTTGGTGCGTGGTAGTGAGCGGCCGTCGGGGTGGACGCCGGATCTGTCGGGGCCGGTTGATATGGAGGTTTATTGATTACGCACTGTATCAACGGTGCAACATATGTGGAATGCATCGCATGTCCTCATCTTTAAAAACGATCGCCGGGTTACGATGTACGTAATACCAACAGTCATGACATTGTCAATCTCATAAAAGCGTGTGCATCGTCAAGTAAAAATAAGCCTAAGCATGTACGGAGACTACGGCCCTCCCCCCATTCAAAGCATATACCCATCGAAAACGCCCAATGGCCCATTCCCAATTCCACATCCATATCCATGAATCCTAATCCACCAGTCCAGGACTACTGTGCTCTACACAGCCGGGAACCTCGGATCCTCATCCTCCGTCAAGATACCCTGAGAAATAAGCTCCTCCGGCTGCGGTCTACGCTGCAGCTTCTGGTCAAGGTTATCAGCAAGCATGTGCTTCTCGAGCTCCTTTGCCTGCGCCTGCAGCGCGGGCGCGGCGTTGATATGCGGAAGGATGTTGCCTATCATGGGACAATCAGCTTTCTCTATCTATACTTCAATCGAGCATGTCGTTCCACTCAATCTCCGCTGGAGAGGGTTCAAGTAAAAGGAAAACACACGTTCAACGAGCTCATCCCGCTCAGGACGATGTTCGAGGTGTTTCTTCAGGCTGTCTGTTGTACGCTGGCGCGCGAGTTCTGCTTTGGCTGCCTGGAGAGATCTACGCAGGTCCGGTAGGACGCTTAGTATCCGTGCATGGCCATGTAGGATACGGGGCGTGGTAGTTGGTAGTCACTTACGGCGCCACGGTAGTATCGAGCAGGATATGTCTTTCTTTAAGATCCTGGGCGTCGGGTCGAGTCTGGAGGTGTTTCTCGAGGGAATTGCGACGTTCCATGGACGAGGCTGAGAGGGGACTCTCGTCGATTTCGGCGTTGGGAATGATGATATTGTCCATGATAGCGATAGCGATAACGGGGTGTTGATACGAGAGGACTGAGATATATACTTGCGGAGTCTCAACCGTGACTACTTTCAGGACAACGCGGTTACGAATTCAGAGAGACTGTGCTGAAAGGGGGTAAGAGCAGACAGCAGGCTAATAAGTAGCGATGAAGCAGAAGATGATGAAGTCTGAAGTGATGATAGTGTTGACACAGAAGAATGGTAGGTCAAGTGATGATGCGGAGGACAGTTCCACGGGACCTTTTGAGGTAAGTCGGCGGGGCAACAGAAGTCAAACAAGTATCGGCCAATGTACCCCGCATACATCAAACGGAAGACGTCGCATCAAAAAGTCTGATTTGTATGCTATTTTTTCCTCACTGAATTTAAAAATGAAGACTGGGATACACTCATCCACTCTGACAAAAAAAGAAGATAGATCACACATGTCAATTTGCTGACCCTCGATACTGCCTCCTTTCTCCGAAACAATTCTGAGAGTGGCATCATACTGTCCAACGAAATCAAGCAACGAAACAACAACTGCCATCTGCGTGCTTCCAGCATGGACGTGTTGAAGGGGAAGAATTAGATCTTTGGACCGTGAGGCGTTGGAAAGAATGATGGGTCCTGGAGTACCACCTGCAAAGTGGAAAACAATTGAAGACATCAGCGTGTTTCGCACTGTAAAAGAGAAAGTCAACGGCATATAGGAAATCATCAGATCCCCGCAGCTCGACTCGAGACCATTTCTGATGCTTCAAACCCTTTTGATTGTAGTTTCCATGCAGAAATGGGGCTATCGGATCGGGACCGTGCTGTGCTCGATTCACGATCGTCTGCCTTATTCCTGTACATGCATGCCACACGCCCGGGAGAACCCGTCTGTCTCATCCATAGGCCTCGAAATCCGACCAGTAGGAAGTACAGCAAATGCAGATAATTCCATTCTCTGCTTCGAATAACAACCGTAGAGGTCTATTTTGAGAAACTTGCAGAAGTCCGGTTCGCCAGTCCGACGATTGACGAACCTTTGCCTTCCCATCAAGGAACCCAGAGTTTGCCTCGACCGCGATTGTTACCACGAGAAGGTCCTCGGGATGCTCCGCGACGACCGCGAGATGCGCCAGCAAGGCCACGAGCGGCTCCAGATTGAGTGCTCAAGTCGACTGTAGGCTGTTGCTTGCTAGTGGGACCTAAGGACCGACTGAAAGAATCGGGATCAATGGGCTGTGTGGGGATCTCAACCGTACCCTCCACGGGAGCTGCGACCACTTTGGGAGCAGTGGTTTTACGGCTGGTGGTTGCGCGCGAACCGCCGCCTCTTGATACTCCTTTTCCACGGCCGCGAGGCACGAACACCAACTCATCCTCGTCGCTTTCGTCCTCGTATGAGAGCAACGATTTCGGTTCAGACACCTGCGTCTTTTCAACGTACTTGCAACGGTTCTTGTACTCTCGTTCTTCATACTGGATCGACGTTCGCAATTGATGGATGTTCTTAACGGCAATGCCGAACTTCTGAGCCCACAATCCCGTCACGCGATCATTTGTGACGAGAATGCAAGTCTTCGCTGCATTAGTGGCGTCGGGACCACAGTGCAAGCGCCATAGAATGGCACTGAGAAGCGGACGAAGCACTACGGGAACTGTAGGAACCACAGATCCCGAGGCAGTGCGCCGATGTCCGGTCTCATTCTTCAATGTGGCCTCGTTTTGTACTCCACCGTTTGCAACGGCGCGCAGATTGGAGTCCTCCGGGCTTGTGCGCGAACTTCTCGACGAGGGTGATGAGGCAGGATTACTGTGCGTACCCGCAGAGGGAATCGACGCGGCGTCTGATTCGGTCTTGAAGTTTAGCTTGTTGAGAAGCATCTGCGACAGATCATCGGGGGCCGCGCCATTTTTCTTGTTGCTGCTCTTCATCTTCTCTACTGGCCTCTCCAGGGGCAACTGCTCCTCCGCGTCATCTCCGTTGATCGCCTCGGGTTCCTCCTCAAACTCCGGTAGGAAGAACTTCTCCGCCTCTTCCCAATTTTCGTACTGCTCCATCGGGCCTTGGAGAACGACGCTATCGGCAGGAATATTATCTTTGCCGGAAGTGACTCGATCGAGAAAGCGGACAGCCTCACGGGAATTGATGGCGATCTGGGATCCGGCTCTTTTCAACGCATGCAGGCGTTCAAGGGCTGGAAAGCAGCAGAAAACCTAATGAGCGAGCGGGACGGAGGACGGCGTCTCGGAAATCAATGTACTTACTGTAAAGAGGGACGATGAGGGTAATGGCGCCGCTTGTGGTCCATCTTTTTATTTCGCTGATGTTGGTGGTTAGGGCCGTTTCGTCCACGGCACAATGGAAGACCTTGCGTCCGGCCGACATGGCTCTCAATGAGTGAAGGGCGACCGGGCGCTTTGATGGGAAAAATCGAACAATCAAGGCAGGACAGCGCAGTCCTACACTAGACAGCTAGCTTTGACGACCGCGACTAGGCCGCAGTGCGATGTTAGCGGGATGCGAGATCTCCCGAAGGAGGTTTGGGTAGTTAGACGGAGGCGGAGGACTTTGGGAATGTGGGGGCATGGATGAACTTGATGCAAGTAATAGAGCCAGCCAGCAAGGACAACCAAGATGTATGCAAGTTATACTCACAAGAGAACACTTTTTCACAAGTAAAGCTCATCAGCAGCATCTTGTGGTTCTGGATAATAATGAATGTGAACGGTAGTGAGCCCAAGAGAGGGAGTGTAACTGCATCCTACAGCGGCGGATCAACTCGAAGCCGCGGAGAATTAGTCGATCAGAGCCTTTGACTAAGCACTAAGGCGCTACCTTGTAGACGGTGATCCAGAAGGAAACCGCCATCCTTACCCAACTCTTTGAGCTAACGATTTCAAATGAATAGGACTATGTATATTATTTTCACTGTATTACATTCTATCGCACAGCAGAGAAGCTCTAAGTTATTGGTGTGTGCTAGCGCTGTAACGCAAGCCGATATGTATTCAAGGCAAGAGAACAGAAATGCTGTCATACAAATCCTTAAGAAATCGTATCATGGCCACAATAGAAAATGGGTTTCTCAGGTCGCCTTCTTAATTAGGCCCTCCGAGTCTTTGACTCGCTGTGCCCATTCACTAATCGAGAAGAGTCAACGTCTGAATCATAGCCACAAGGGAAAAAAGAGAAAGCTACTTACGTCCAGCTCCCGTCATAAACCCTCCGAAGACTGGGATCTCCATACTCTGCTACATTCAAAGCGGTTTCAATGATACAGGCCGTCACGCCGGTGCCGCATGAGGTGATGATGGACTTGGTTTCATCAATTTCGTGTTTCTGAAAGACCTTGCGCAGCTCTTCAGGAGAAAGATAGGTCTTTGTTTCAGGGTTAAGAAGTTCCTGGAATGGCAAGCTCTTGGAGCCAGGGATGTGTCCCGAAGACAACCCTGGGCGCGGTTCGGGATCAGTACCCGCCCATCGCCCGTAAGATCGAGCATCCAGGATCTCGACCTCCTTTGATCCTTCCTTTCGGTGTTCCTTGGCGATCTCCTTCAACTCCCGGTAGGGAATCACCAGCTTAGAGTCGAATTGCGGGAGTGGGTAGCTGGTCTTCTCCACAGGCGCTGGCTCCCCAGTCTCTGTCGGATAGCCTTCACGAACCCACAGCTTGTAGTTGTTGAGGACATGAACCCTGGGATGCCCAAACACCCGTAAGGTCCAGCCAACACGAGGGGCGCTGAAGATGCCAAGCTCTTCCGTATCGTAAACCACAATCTCGTCGTCGCGTCGAATGCCAAGCTGGCTCATCGCCTCCGCAAACGTTTCCACAGTAGGAAGCATATGCGGGTAGGGAGATTCGGGGTCCTTGATCGCGTCTAGATCAAAGAATCGTGCCTGAGGAATGTGATGCTTTCGAAAAGCATCAATGCCTGTGCGGTCCTCGGGGTCATTGACCATAAACCACGCGGCACATAGAGGGATTACACGGGGAGAAGTGGAGATCTTCGTGGTCGGATTCTTCTTCAAAGCTTCATGGAGTTCCCTGGGTGACACGAGGTATGAAGAGAATGAGATCTGGCGATTCTGGGTCTGTTGCCGTAGCTGCTGAGAGACAGCCA